ATAGATAGATAGATAGATAGATAGATAGCTACATTCTCTTAATTCAAAGAATAGAGGGATTTGTTCTAATAGTGTTTGTAAATAGGATATCATGTGTGCATCTTGTATAGCAAATAACCACTAGGAAGGCAGTATGCAATGTGTTAATTATCGGAAATGTCCTACCAATTTGATTTGAAACTGTCTCATTGATACTTAGTTCTCAATAAAATTATGGAATAAAAATAAACTGATCAACAGATCTGATACTATATCTTTCAAAATACCATCAGCTCTTTCCACCAGAAAATTATCATCTCATTATATAATTTATAAGGAAACATACAACTTAGAATATCTAAAACAATCTTGAAAAAAATTAAAAATTTATTAATAGTAAAAAAGTATATTTTTCATGTATTCAGTACAGGGTCTACAAGGTTTCCCTACACAGATCCGACTCGTAGTGATCCTCCTGTTTTCAGCCTCCCAAGTGCTGGGATTACAGCTGTGTGCCACCACGCCCTGTCTCAGTGCTCTCCAGGGTAGGGGCCAGCACTGCATGCTGGCATGGAACCCCGGGCCCTGGGTCTGCCTAAGCAGGTGCTTTAATCCTCTGAGCTATTGCGCCAGCCTTGATCAAAACTTATGATATAAGTAAAATTATCAAGTTAACCATAGCAAAAAGAGAGGCACATAGATCAACAGAATAGAATTGAGTCCAGAATGGAGCCTAACACGTGGTCAACGGCTCTTTGGCAATGAGGCCAAGGCAGATCAGTGTGGAAAGCCACTGCTCGAAGCAGATGATGCCGGGGTACACAAAAAGATGGCTTCAAATGCACATCTGACCTCACAATGTACATAAGCACAAACTCAAAATGGATCATACATGTAAATATAAGAGACAAAACTTAGAGATTTTTGAAGAAAATATGAAAAAAACTTTGTGACCTTAGATTAGGCAAAGAATTGTTAGATAAACTCCCAAGATGACAGTGTATAAGAAAAAAATTGAGCTGAGTTGTATCAAAATTTAAATTTTATTTTTATTTGTTATTTTTATGAAGGGAACACTTTCGTGGTACCTTATGAAGGGAACACTTATTTGTTATTTTTAATCAATAGTTAGACACCATTTAAGAAAACACGACAAGCCATAAAATATTTTAAATAATTTGCATGACTAAGGGCTTATGTCTTCAATGTTTAATCAACAATAAAAGGACAAGACATCTAATTTAGAAAAATGAACAGATTTAAGTATACATTGTACCCAAGAAGACATAAGAAAGACTAAGTAAACATCTGAAAATATGAGACACTGTTTCAGATCCCCTAGAATGGCTGTCATGCAACAGACAAGCAATAGTGAGTGTTGGCAACAGTATGGAGAAGGTAAGATCCTCATAGACTCTTGGTGGTAATCTAAACTGCCTTAAGTACTTAGGAAAATAGTTTGACAATTCTCTTATATAGCTGAATATTTAATTACTGTATGACCAAACACCTCCACTTTTAGGTATTAACCCAAAATAAATATAATGAAAATATAAGTGCACATAAATACTTATACACACTCTTAATAGCATTATTATCCATACAGGTAAAAAAAAAAAAACCCAAAACGGAGGCAGCTAGAATGTCAGCTGGTGAGTGGATAACCACAGTGTGATGCATGCATGCAGCAGAGCGTCCAACATACCCTGCAATGAAAGGGAATAAGTTCCTACAAAATGTCACAGTGTAGATAGACTCAAAACCATTATGCCAGGTAACGGAAATCAGAAGCTAAAGACCACGTAGCGTCTGGCTCCATGTCTATGAATTGTCTAGAAAGCACAACTTTATTGAAAGTAGATTACAAGTTCTCTAAGTCTACAAGTGAGAAGAGGAATCGACTGAAAATGCACATGAAGGAGCTTTCTGGCATGATAGAAATGCAGCAGTATTGTATTGCAGTAATTGCTCACACAGCGCCTTAATAAAAGTATTGGATTATATATGCTTACATGAGTTAATAGGGCATGGAAATCCTGCTTCAAGAGGAATGTCATAAAATCAAATATGAATAGTCCCCCATATAAAAGGCACATATAAATACAATGCTCACGATAGCAGGAATCATAATGGCCTCAAACTGGAAACCACCTAAATATCCCTCAGTGATAGGTGGATAAATACTTTGTTATATAATCTATATAATTATATGACACTACTTGTAAGTATTCAGATGAACAGAGAAAGTGTATTTATACACAATGGAGTGCTCCTCTGTCATAATGTAGGGTAAACTTGTGTCATTTGTAGGAAAGTGGTTACACTTGGAGCCTGTAATGTTAAGTGAAATAAATCAGACATGCAAGCTTAAATGTCACAGTTTCTTTTTGGAGAAATCCAAAATATAAATAGAGAGCAAAATAAAAGATAGATAACAGGAAATAGGGAGATTGATCTTTTACAAAGGAGAATGGGACCAAGAAGCAGAGGCAGGGTGGAAGGGGGGACAGGAAGGGAATGTGTTATGTCCCCATACCAGGTCCCCCCGAGGCAAACGTGCCACAAATATGGTCTAATAAAAGGAATTACTGCTGCTTGCAACAACATGGAGAAATTGCAAAAGCACTACTGGAAGTGAAAGGAAGCAGACCCAGAAGAGTACTGATTTTGTAAATTTGTTCTTAAGAAATTCTAAGCCAAGGCAAAGCCACACTGACAGAAAATATGTCATTGGCTGTTGCCAGGGACAATGGTGGGAGGGAAGGGCATTGCAAAGAGGTATGAGGGGCTCCTTGGGACAGGAATATTTCGCATCTTGATTGTCATAGTAGTAGTATGGCTCAATGTATTTATCAACAGTTTTTAAACTACCCTTAAATTTTACACTTAAATTGGTGAATGCTATTACAGTTTATGTAAACAGCAGCTCAATAAAGGTAATAAGCACAAGAGATGTTCATGGCTGGCCAAATAGCTCAGTGGATTAAAGCACCTGCAAGCAGGCGCAAGGGCCTGGGGTTCAATCCCTGGGCCTGCTGTGCCAGCCCCACCACCGGGGAATGCTGAGAGGGCAACTGAGACTGGCCTGATGGCGCACGCCTGTAATCCCAGCTCTTGAGAGGCTGTAAACAGGCAGATCACTACCAGTCTGATCTAGTAGTGGGAGCCTGAACACCCTGTAGACCCTTCCCTAAAACACACACACACACAAAGAGATGTTCATTATTGGGAAATTTGGAAGTGAAAGTATTCTGACATGCATATATCTCAAAATTGAATATATATATGTACATATATACACACTATATACAAATGCATAGTATATATTAATATATAACTTTTTGTATATATAACTATATACATAAAACAAATGTAATGATGTAGCTATCAGATATAACTATCATTCCTAACATATGTATAGGAACATACAGCATGCATATATAATAAGTATAAAGGTTTAGGAAGGTGGCAATTATGTTCTTATCTCCATAATGTATCTTTTCCACTGAGCTGGGCATTATGTGTCCAGGTAATAATTTAGAAATAAAAAGAAGACACATGTTAAAGGAAAACCAAAGTATACTATTTGAACGAGAGGTTTCTTTGTGGCAGGATGAAAATGTTCTGGTTAGTATAAATGCTCATAACTTGTACAAATAGTAAAGTCACTCATTATATGCAAAAGATGAGTTATATTGTATGTAGATTATATCTTAATTAAGAGGAAGATCATTAAACATACCAGGCTTTTTTGTTCTTTCATTTGTAAATACAAAATAGAGGAAGGAGAGGAAAAACAATGGAAAATGAATAATTTAGTATGTTTTTATTTGAGGTTTGTTTTTAGCATGTAGCTATTGAACAAAATACTAAAAGTAGCTCAATATATATGCTAGAATGTGTTACTTTTTAATTTTTTAACTAAAAATTTGTAATAATGAAAAGAATAACAGAACAGTACCTGCTTGTTTTTGAAATGCCCTGCTGTCCATAGCCACTGGAAGACACTTTCTGGTAGAGTATTTGTCTGTTTGTCAAGTGAGTCTGAAGCTTTGGTTTAGGCATGATTGATTCAATGTGATTATAGTTGAGGCATAAGACCTACAGAAAGAACACTACATACATCCAACAGCCCATAAGCTAGCAAAATAAGAGATATAATTTGGAACATGCAACATAATAACATACTGACAAAGAAAATCACAGGGTGGCAAATAAAATAATAAAGACCCTAGAAAGATGCCCAACTTTTCACTCCTAAGTTCTCTAAGCCTGACAAGGAAGAAATAACTCAGAAAGAAATCTGCTTCCTGGTATGTAAAGGGGCTTATAGATGGCTGACCTGAAATGACAGGAAAGAAAGTGGCGAAGCTGCCCTAAGAACTAGAGCATGTTACACCTTCGCATTGCACCTTCCAGGGCACGGGCAGCTTTCTATTCCATCTTTTACTGTAGAGTAAGACAATCACACACATAAAACTAAAGTCAAATCAAAATAACTTTGGAAGGAAACACTTTCATTCACGTAGTGAGAAATAAAATCAAACAACAGAGAAGATTTGCAGGGGACTCACTTTCACGTTAGGCAAGTAGATCAGTCCACTGAAGGAGGTGAGGTTGTTGTTCTGCAGGTTCACATTACACACGTTTCTAAAGTGGTCAACTGGAATCAAATCCACAGTTCTGCATTTAGAGAAAGTGAGTACAGTTATTTGAATGGGTTCAGAGCATATAGAAAAACATAGATCCTCCACATACAATTGTTAAAGACATTACAAAATCTCAGTTGACAAATGCCATGAAAATAACTGCCTCGTATAAAAGTCAGGGTTGAGTGATTCCCTAAATACACATTTCCGCTGGGCACATAAGTAAGAAAATGGCATAGGACTTGATCGTTTTCTCTTACCACAGAAACTTAGCCATTAAATAATATATACATATTTTGTTTTTCAGAACCGGGGATTGAACTCAGGACCTTGCACTTGCCAGGCAGGCACTTATTGTACTGAGCTATCTTCCCAGCCCCCATTAGCCATATTATAAAAGAAACATAAAATAAGCACTTCCGATTCATTTATAAATTCATCTTACATCTTCATGAAATCATAGTGAATTGATATAAAACCTGTAAGATTTCCAGGTTATGGAATTCAGAAGACATACGTGAAACGGATTATTACTGAGATGCCAAGCATGGGATAAGATAGGGAGAGAAAACGAAAAGGTAGGTAAGGTCTTTGAAAATGGACTTTTTTTGTGTGTGGAACCTCTTGAAACAGTTATGGCAATCTACCCTGCCAGGATGTTCTATTAATTGATATAGGGTCTTGCCTCCCCAAGACTGGGATTACAGGCATGTGCCACCACACCCAGTTTTAGGGCTGGCACAGTGTGCCCCGGGGTCCCAGGGCCAGCTAGTCATGTGGTACCAGGAATTGAACTCAGGGCCTTGTGCTTGCAAGGCAGGCGCTTATGCCACCAAGCTATCTCCCAGCACCGACCAGGATGCTCTGGTAACTAACCAGAATGCTGGTCCCTAGTCCATAGCTATGGAAATACTCTGCATCATTTGAGTCAGGACAGAGAGGAGCATGAAGCTAAATCACTGTCCTCTGGCAACTTTGTAAGACAAATCTTAAACATACATCGTCCATCAACAAGCAATTTATTCATTCAACATTTTTTCATTAATATTTCCCAAATGTAGGTAATATGTCAGGAAGGTTACAATATAGGAAAACTGTAACTGTATCTGTTCTCCAGAAGCGGGAGGCAGAAAAAGTAAAATGCAAAGAATGTTATTGAAGAGCCAGGGAGATGGCTCAGTGGAATAAGCATTTTTCTGGTAAGCACAAGGGTCTGAGTTCAATCCCTGGTTCTGAAAAAAAAAAAAAAAAAAAAAAAGAATGTTATTTAACAGAGTTAGGTGCAATGACATTTTAGAGAAAGGAAATGACCTTGAAGAAGTCAAGGATAACAGCACAAAGAAAGACTCTGAGCTGAGAGCGAGTGGATTTGTAGGCATCAGCTGAATGATGAAAAGAGTTCCACACAGTGGAATGGGCACAAAGGCAGAGACACGACACCACGTCTGTGGCCAGGATTCCGTCACTAGTACATTTTAAAGTTTCTGCAACATAAGGTGACATGGGCAGCGAAGGAAAGGATTACAAAAAATGTAAATTATTCTATGCCATGTAAAAGAATTAAAAATTACATTCTGTAGACAGTGGAAAGATACTGAACAATACTGAGACAGGAAGTAATGTGATAACCTGTATCTTAGAAGGCAGTAATGGATAACAGATGGGTTATCTGAGGAAAGGTTTTTTAAAAAATGTATTTGGTACAGGGTCTCACTAAGTAGATTGAACTCATAGTGATTCTCCTGTTTTCAGCCTTCCCAGCGCTAGGATTATAGGTGGACTCGGTGGCCAGCTCAGCGCACCCAAGGGTGGGACTGGTGCGGCATGTGGTGCCGGGAATAGAACCCTGGTTCCTGCACTTGTCTAAAGAGGTGCTTAGTTCACTGAGCTATCCTGGGGGGGTTATTTAGGATAACAACAAACAAATCATCAAAAGAGTTTCTAAAATAGTTCAATACCAAGTACAGTGACTGTGGAATGACAGAGGAACTGAGACATATTTTAAACCTGAACAGAACATGGTAATGAAAAATAAAACAAGGACAGAGGAGAGAAAGTACTCATGCTTACTTTAGCTT